TGTAGGAACAGAATTCTTTACTTTATATTCGCATCATTCCGTAGGTGACGTATGAGGCGACAGAGTTAATCTGAAACAGATGGGCAGCAGCACCTTCCTGATAACATCAGACAATTTTTTATAACATGTTTTTTTCGTCATTTAAATAACCACTTCTCAAATAAACATCACTTTGGATTTGAAGCAGCAGCGTGATATTGACACTTTGTTGATGTAGTATGATTATTCCTTTATATTTCTATTTTTTGATGAGGAAACTAATTTATTTATATAATATATAAATATTTAGTATATTTGATTTCCAACCAAAAAAATTAATTTGTTTGTAATATAAATAGTTATCTTATTATTAATTATATCAATTTTAATTATTATTATCTCTAATATTAGAATATTATTATCTATAATTCTATCAAAAATCATTTATAGATTGACAAAATTATAATATACATATAATAGAAAATTATGAAGATCTGCGGTTATCCATCTGCCAGGCAAGCGTGCTTCTATGGCTGAATCCCCCCAATAAGGTAATCTGTAGGGGTGACATATGTTCGGCAATAGACTTTTGGTAGACTGTAATGAATACATTCTTCTCATCAGGCTCTAAACAGATCAGGTGGCGAGCGCTAATCTTACACTCACTAGATGTCGCTATTCGGGACTAAGGTAAACTTATTTGTAACGCAGATGGTCACACAACGATATCATCATAGAAAAGCCGCATTTTCAACCGAATTCAAAAAAGGAGGAGGTTCTCAATTCGACTTTATAAATTTGATCAAGGTCTGAGCAGTAGTTTTTGAGTTATCCTTAATAATGCGTATTTAATTGAGTTCGACTACATTGATGATGTTCTCGTTTTATTTATACTGTAGTAGGATATACGAAATTTTTAATTTTATCACTTGTAAGTTAAAGATTTCGATTTCTAGTGAATGTATGTGTAAAATAATGCATCAGTGCTCTATTTTTAAATTTTCTTCACATTTAAATTATTTTACTTTTAGGATTACCCGTACTTTTGTTTATATCCATTTCTAATCTAATTAAAACATTAATCCCTACACTTTTCTAACGAATTAACATCCCGCTATGAAATCTGTCAAATATTACACTTCATTGGTAAGTGGAGCCGCCCTGGTGGCAGAAAAAGTTGTAGGCTGCGCTCTCGTCTTGCACTTTTAACGCTGCTCTCCTCGGTGCAGGAGTGTGTGGATTGTGTAAATTTGAGATATTTATATCACCATCTGTCGGAAGCCAAAAGACCTTGGCATTTCCCTAAATCGCCTCTTAGATCACGTCAAGAGATCTGATAATGGTTTCTCTTATGTACACAAAAATCTGTGCGAGCCAATTCGACCTTTGTTAAGTCAGTATTTTTTTAGATTTCGTGGTGGTCAGAAGCTTACAATTCCTACGCAATTTTCAAACGAATTACGTCAAACGACGTCATAAAAGAGATTGACAAAAGTGATGCCAATACCTAGTAATAATATAAAAACCAGATTGACTTGATTGCCGAGTTGTCAATTAAATGTGACCGTCTTGGTTTTCTTTACATAATGCGATCACGATTTTTTTTTGCTTGATTTATAATTTAATTGATTCACGATAACCCTTGAACATTTCCTTGCTACGAAGAAGTGTTTTCTCACAGTTTGAATTGATTTTAATCAAAAATTTTGTTTGAAGTAACTCCGTCAATGTGTGCACAATAGAAATAACAGTTATTTACCGTACGACACAAAGATTGTTCTCTCATTTTAGCCAGTGCCGGATTAACTACGTAGCAAGAGTAGCTATAGTATGCTACGGACCCCGCGCAAAAGGGGGCTCCGCGCATACAAATCCGCCCATCTCCGCATGAGCGTAATGTTTTGAGTGAAACTTATTAAGACGTATTATTCTGGTAATTTACTTGATGTCACAAGAACGCTAAACGTTACATTACACCTTCCCGCTAACAGTACGAAAAACTTTTAAATATGTGCTAAAAAGATTTACAATTATTTATGGAGTATCGTTAGTCTTAAATTGTTATTTCTTATCAAAATTATTCTAAATAGCCAGGACATCTCTGGCTTTTTCTACTTGTCAGAGTCTAATAGGGCCTATAGTAATCTACTATACTATTAAACACCAACCAAATTGTAACCTATTGAAGCCAAATAAACGTCTTGAGCATTGAATTGTTTTTTTTTACCACTTTTTACTTAAGAACTCATAGCAGATCAAGGGCCCCTCGATAGAATTTTGGCCCCGCGCTTGCTTAATTCGGCACTGATTTTAGCCTTTCATCCATTACAGCCAATAACACTGCACAGCTGAACATAGGCCTCCCCCAGAAATTGCCTTATATAAAAAATTTATTGGAAAAAAGGTTACAAACGAACACACAGTCCACTAGATGTTAAGTGGATGTTGTGGCCCATAGACATCTAAACTTATCTTTAATTAAAATCAAAATGCAGGAAAGTTGTCACACCGAAGGACTAAAATAGAATACGTCATTTCCGGTAAAAAGGATAATTAATAGAAACTGGTGTTACTTTGCGAAAATCCATTATATTAAAGATTTTAAAAATTAATTAGCTAAGGTACGCGTAAAAAATTAAATGAAGAGGGAGGGCTGGAGGTGCTCATCAAACTAGATAAGACACATCAATTTATTTTAAACTGTTATTTTACGCCGATGTTCTGTGAGAGCGTGGTCCTTCGCCGTGGACATATTCGTGCTACAACAATAGCTGTTTAGCAATAGCAGCAAGAGTCTACCACGTAAAAACATCATAGAGGGATTTTGCCACAGTTGCCACGCTTGGCGGGCGGGTTGCAACCGCAGTTACTTATAGTTGAGTTCCTATAGGCTATCAGGAAGACGCTGCTGCACATCTCCTGGTTTAATGATTTCTTATATTTACGCGAACACTACACATTACGGTACCCACGGTTTTTACCTGGTAGAGCCATGCCGCAGCTATATTAGTATAGTTGTAGCACGAATGGGTCGGCTCGACCGGGGAAGGACCACGCTCTCACAGAAAACCAGCGTAAAATAGCAGCTTAACACTGCTGTGTTTCGTATGGTGAGTGTAGAGAACCGGAGACCCTTTTTACTGGCAAAGAGGCATTCCACCTTAGTCCTCACGGGTGACAACGCATCTGCATCTTGAGTATTTATTGAGGATAGATGTAAATGTCTATGGGTCACAGTAACCACTTACCATCAGGTGGACTGTGTGCTCGTTTGTCACCATATCCTATTAAAAAAAATCTACTGTGATGGATGATGGTGCGATTCACCATTTAAATATCGGTTGGTATGGGTCTTTTTCTTATGCACAGTGTGACCAATAGTGTTATCGGGATTTCGGATGACTAAAACATCTAGGAAATCTAAAGAATTGTTTGCGTCTAACTCCATGGTGAATTGTATTTTAGAGTTTATGGAATTAAGGTAGTCTAAAAATGCAGTTACTTTGTCAGATGGTAAAATTGTGAGTCTCGTTTACGTATCGCTTGTAGAAAATCTTTGTTTCAGAGAGCACGAGGGATTGTGACAGAAAACATCTGGCTGCCGAGCTTCAGCACGTCGAGCAAGTATTGCAAGACAACAAGCTTCGGGTCCCGCGCCTACGTCACAGTGATCGAATGAAGCCGGCCACAGTCGAGCGTGTGCCTGCTGTACTACCCTATGTCAGAGGAGTCACGGACAAGGTTGGCTACATCTTGAAGTATGTTTCCATTAAAACATACTTCAGATCGCCGAAGAAGATTAGTCAATTTTTACTATCCGTCAAATGTCATATCCCTCTACAAGATGCAGGAGTGTACAAGCTTGATTGCGAATGTGGTGTTTCTTACATAGGACAAAGAAAAATATCTATTAAAACTCGCGTGAAAGAACATATAGCTGACGTGAGGCACCGATGCTCTGGGAAGTCTGCAGTCTCTAACATGTTCAAGATCGTCCCCACCATTACATCAGATTTGATAGACCACAAATCCTCGCAAAAGAACACCGATTTCTACCAAGGATGATACGCGAATCTATTGAAATAAAAAAAAACATCCCAATTTCAATAGAGAAGATAGATGGGTGCTGCCATCTGCTTGGGATCCAATAATTAACAAAATTAAATCCAAACCCAAGCATGAAGTCTTGCAGCTTCAAGATACTGTAAGCTCATTCTGCGTAGATCGTACCAAAAATTAATATTCGAAAACAGAACGTAGCCGGGCTAACTATGGCATCGGGACGTCAAATATCTCAGTCCCCCCGTAACCATGGGTTGCTGTAAAGTACCCGAAACGTCGGGAACTAAAACAAGTAAATTAAATCGTAAAAATCCGTAAAAATAGTTTTATTCAATCTACTGGTTTGTTTCTATTTGTCGCCTCTTACGACACCCACGGGACGGATGGAATATAATATTATAGCCTATTTGATGGAATTCTTTATCAAACCATAACAAATTACGGGAAAAGCAATATTTGTAATTTGTATTTCTAAAATGTAAATTTTACATAGATTATATAGTAGCTGTTTAATAAGCTATTTAAATTAACTACTATCTAGAAAAAAAAAATTAGTGCATGCAAAAATTATAGCAAAAACATAAAAACGATACAATTTATGTTTACTAATTATATAATTCTATGTTTTTTATTTTCATCTTATAAATATAAAAAAAAACTACTTTATTATGTACTGCTTAAAATTTTTTTTTCTAGTAAATGTTTTTAATTATTATTCATATTGGAATATTTGTAATATTCAATAAAATGTGAGTTATTCCGCGTGGATTAGATATACGTTATAGAAGATTATGACGTCGTTTGATAATAAAACGGCCGTAGTTGAGTTTTAGTAAAATAAAATAACAGATACCTATTTGTCGCCTGAAAGTGATGTAGGCCGCACGCGTGCTGCAAAATCTAACAACGGAATTATTCGATTTTTATAAATTATTTTTTAAGGTCGTTAAGTGATCATAATGGGTAGTAAGAAAAATGGAAATATTGAAAATAAGAACACGCAAGTGAAAAAACCGCCGCGAATCAAGGAACCACCTGGTGTTTTAGCGCGATTATTATTTTTTTGGACATTTCCATATTTTTACTATGGAAATCGACGGGATTTGGAAGAATACGACTTAGTACCTGCTAAGTCTAAGTACAACTCGAAATTGGTGGGCGATGATTTAGAAAGGTAAGTGTTTATTCTATTTTATAATAGTGCAAAACAGAAATTAAATACCAAGAGTTTAGCCCCGAATATTTATTCTTTTAATAAAAAAAAATTAGATTGAAACTGTATATTACTGAATATTTTAGTAGCATCATTTTAATTGACATCAAATTTTTTTTTAATAAAAGCTATTAAAAGTATTAATACACACACTCCAACTAAGCTAAAATGTTGCAAGGCTATGGGTTGCTGTCAGTAGTCGAATAGTGGATTCGAACCTACGACGTTTAAGTTTCGCAGGACGTGTTAACCTATACCGATGTATGTATCAATTAGCTTGTTGTTCGCGGATTAGCTTGTAGCGCTAGTTACCTTTTTTAATGTCTGACATATTAGTCAGACAACTATGTTAGTATGTATTCACTCAATGCTACCGAGGTAACATTGTGTGTATATGACTGGGTATAAAACTGAATAAGCACGACTTTTTTTTTTATTTGTTTTCACTCATATATAAAAATGTGACAATAACTAAAATTTAGTTGCAAAATATTATGACATCAACTTTTAAGCTCAACCATTAATTGTCTTTGTGGTTTTAGTAACAGTTTGTTGACGCTCTTATAACTAGCTGTTCATAAAATTCAACACCGTTTCTCACCTATTATGAAACAATTAAAATACAATCAGCGTCCCTATTCATGCATTGTAATAATATGTCGAAAGCCTAATGAAAATAGATAATTTGAAACAATTTTAGATTGTTTGTAAGTGTAAATATTGAAATTAATCGCAGTAAAGGCCATTTTTTTCTTCAAAAATCACAAGGATACTACTTAAAAATAAATATATATATATGTTATAGATGAACGGAAAAACCATACACCTGATATATAGCCGTTTATGTCTGATAGTCGTCGTGAAACAAATGAACGACTTGACCGATAGAGGTCATATTTACACAATACAATAATATTTTTTATCGAGAAAATGGATCCAACATTAGTGACGCTGTAAATATATATACTCATTAATAAATTCAATATTTATAGGTCAAAATGACTCATATTTGCAATATTTGTTGGTTAAGTGAGACCCTATAAAGTGATGCTGTGGTCGGGTTATTCGAGTTATTAATATATTTTATATTTACAATATAAAAAGATTGGAGGAGTGAATTCGGAGTTAGACTTATCGCGCCACCTACCGGAAAAGTATGAACGTTCGCTATCGGGCCAGCTAGTCTTTATATTATAAGTATTAACGTGTTATTGCATCACGTTTCTGCCATAATGGTCCCTGCTTGGCATTCCTATAGAAATATAAACGAAGTGAGAGAAATCAGTCCTTTCGTCTGAATAAACGAGGGTGAAGTTAATAAAATTTAAAGCGTGAGAATATACAGTGCTCAAACATATTGAAGCAACACGAAACTTATGTTTATGTTGTGTATAAAGCCTTATCTCCTTTGGAGATACTGTTAATCACGATTGTTCTAGCATTTTTGCATTGAAAGGGCAATATTTGAGTGCACCGGATTATTCTTAAATATTCTATTTATTCCCTTCCCTCATCATAGTACGGTAAATAATAAAAAAAGAAAAAAAATTTAAATTAAATTATTAAGAATTACTCAAAAACTATTGGTCAGATTTTGATCAAATATCTAAATTATATGGGACCACATGAGAAGCACCGGCTTTCAAATAAAAAAAAATCATCGAAATTGGCTCACCCAGAAAAAAGTTATGAGGTAACACACATAAATAATAACATACAGTCGAATTGAGTACCTCCTCTTTTATAAAGTTGGTAGAAAAGCGTGCCCTAGCGGTCAGAACATTAATTATATCGGAAACGTGATAGTGAACTCGAAGTCGTGTTGTGGCGACATAAGATTACCCACAGCCTGATATGATCCCGTGGGTGACGGAAGAGGCGGTAGACTAAAATAGAAACAGGAGATAAGCAGCAGTATTATCATGATAACCAACACGCCTGCCAAGTGTGGCAACTATGGCAAATACCCGCACTACCAGACATTGTATGGAGGAGGCATATATTCAGCAGTGGACTTTTAATATGCTTTTATGATGATATTAAATCTACTCCAGAAAGAAGTCTCTTTTTAAACAATCGATGCCGTGATTGATACTTGCTTTGTGTGTTGAAAATACATAGTTTCTCTTACTAATCGACATTTAACAAGCTCTTCTATGCTCTTGCTTTTAGAAACCTGTAACATCTGCCTAAAATGCCGGATTTTAAATTCGTATACACACAAATAGCTAGCATCCAAACTTTACCATTGGGTTGGAATAATTAAATCAATTAAACAAACAAAACAAAACTTAAACAAATGTAATGTTAAGTTATATATTACTGTTAACGAAAAGAAGCATATTAAGAATTCTATTGTATAATATTGCAATTCCACAGTAACAGATTTCCAACTTAGTATAACCCATTCCTAAAATGCATCATTTTATGCTAAATGTTAAAGGAAAAAAGGAATATCAGATAGACTCAGCTCAAAAATTGTATAGTTTTGAGAAAGGTTGTTAAATTCTACCTTTGACCGTGAACATGTGGTATAAACAATATAAATATCTGGTTTTGTTTCTCATTTAGTTTTGCAAGTATCGGCTGAACAAATAAGAAACATTCTATGAGAATGCTGAATAGATTGTATAATAATTGTAAGAATTATATTTAAATTGATTTTAAGACTCTCTAATTTTATAAAATGCATGGATAACTTGATCACCACCAGTAAAATAATGTTAGACTGTAGAAAAACCTAAACAACACGCATTGATCCTAAGCTGATTATTTTATTTTATATCGGTGCTCCTGATCGGCATACTAGGATAAAATTATTAAATTATTGTTTTGTCATCGGTTCCTGATAAATACAAATTTTCAATTCAATCGGCCGCCTACAAGCTGGTGAAAATTACATCGGGAGTAATGGACACGCCGCCAACACACGGTGCAATAAAATAAGTTTATATAGTTCACGGAGACTTAAAACCACTTTTACTCAAGCCACGAATACATTTTATAATTTTTAAATAATTTAAACATTTATTGAATCATAATACAGAACAAATACAGAACAATAGAATACTTTAAATTACAAAAAAACATGAAATCATTCGATCATGAAATATAAAAAAATACTTGACAAAAGTAATTTATTTATTATTTGTTAAAGAAAATAACTTTTTATAATTATTATTCTTTATTTAAATTTCTTGTAAATTTTTATCTTGAACTGTATTTTTTAAAGTACATTTATTAAAAACACAATTCTAATAATAACAATAATAATAAGACCGTTGTGGTTTGATAAATAATTTACATATAAGCCCATTGAGTAGTACATTATAACTCAATGTATAAGCCAACATATGGATCATACAAAATTTCTTCTTCTTCTGTAAATCGAGCCTGGTTGCACCTTTGGTCTCGTTTAATTAAATCTTTAGATTGATGTTGTAATTCTTGTACTGAAACTTTTTGATTCTCTGTATTTACTAACAAAACTTCTTCATTCGGACATGATTTGACGTGACACGATTTTTGTCTTTATAATCATTTAGTATTCTACAATTTTTCAATTAAAATTGGTTTTAAGTCACTTGTACTATAAAATAATGTACGATACAAGCGAATTGAGTGCACTAACTTTACACTTTACACAAAATTTTAATGGCGTAATCTACGTATTACTTATGTGAGGAGAAAACTTAGTTACCCTTTTTAAGTATATGTATTGCGTGAACGGAGAAGCGTGTAATTTTGGATTATTAATATTGTAATGTTGGAAATAAAATGGAATGTTGTGTAATATTGAAAATTCAATAAAGTAAATTAAATAATATTAGAGTATAATACAACTTAAGCAACACGCATTGATCATGAGCTGTGATAATCGTACTGCGAATACTGGGTCATAGTTATTAAATTATTGTATTGTCCTTGATACGAGTGCTAATTTTCAAGTCAATTGACCGTCTACAAGTTTGTGAAAATTACATTAAACGATTCCGTTACATAAATAGACAGATAGATACACGAGAAGCTAATAAAATTCAAGAATATTTGTTATTTAAAAGTAGATTTTAAACGTCGTATCTTTGTAATATTTATTAAAATAAATATGCATGTGCTAAAAATGGCTTCCAGTTATTCTAATACAAACATCATTTCAAACGAGATTTGCATTTTGCCTGCTGAGCATCTCTCATTACTGAGAGAATTTTAGAATAGGGAAGAGTCAATGCGTGTATTATAGTCTAAGTCTAAGATAATTTCTTAGAAATGCGTCTTTCTTCACGATGTGGATTTTCATACACTCAGAGATCATCTGTACCTATATAAATAAATAAAACTTAAGTGGCTGTCTATATTATCGAAATAACTGGCTTCTATTAAGTTCAGAAGGTTATTTGCAAACTAGTTAGACTTGAATTACCATTTTACAAAAAAGGTTGTCGGTCTTTCTGATATTAAGTAACTTATATATTGAAAGATACTGCTACTTAATACTTATTTACACAGCATAAAACCATATCAAAAATTATCAGTATTAAATGACCATGAAAGATGATCATTACTTTACTAAGTTATTGGAATGTTTTGAAATCACCACGCTTGGAGAGAAGCTAACTAAACGGTTGTACTGTGTACACAAAATTAAATTGTTAAGAGAAAAACTCTCTAGTTGAATAAATTGAGTATCTATCGGTACAGTATACGTTCGCGAAATTCTCTTGCTATCTAGTTACCCATGTAGTAATAAAAGATTAAGTGCACTTTGCCGTGTAGTGGCGGTTAAGAATATCCACTACCCCATATCTTCCCGTGGGTGTCGTAAAAGGCGACAAAGAGAAACAGGCAGGAGATGGGCAGCAGCATCTTCCTGATAACAGCAAAATACAATAAAAAAAACTGCGGTTGCCCACCCGCTCGCCAAGCGTGGCAACTATGGCAAATACCCCCCAAATGGATAAAGT